AGTGAGGCAGTCATTATCATAAAATAGTCTAGCTGGTTTAAGCTTGCTTGGTCTTTTAGCAGGTCTCCCAGCATGACCAGCTAAGACCAGCCTGACCAGCTAAAAAGTGGCCAAAACCACTTTAAAACCAGCCTGGGAGACTAGCCAAAGCAGCCAATCAGCTAAGGCTGGTTTTAGCTGGGGGGTTTTTTTCAGTAGGGAGTTGTTAAGCTTTGCTATAGCAATAGATAGCTTAAATACACCATAAGTCTCATTGTACAAAAGTTTTGAATGTATGAAATGTATGAATGAAAGTATATGGAATTTTTGGTGGATTTGATAGTCTGGTTTACAAAAACCAGAAGTTGGATTAGTTAGAAAAGATATAGCACACCAAGTCAGACCAGTCTGAAGGTCTGACCCAAGTTTGGTGGTTGTAGCTTGAAAACTCTAGGAGAAGTTAGGTGTTAAATTTTGGCTCAGAAGAAGAAGCTTAAAGGGTTAGATCCCGAGTGAACAATTCTCACTAGGGTTGCCACCCGTCCCTTAAAATACGGAATCGTCCCGTAGGCCTATTTAATGGTAAAATGATGCGTCCTGTATCAAGTCAATACGGGACATGATCGTAGACTGTTTCCATAGCGACGGAGTCTCCAGAGCGCGCGCCGTTTAAGCCCTTTCACACGAGCGCAGCATGCGGTAAACAAACCTGCGCGGTTTAAAACATGGGAGCTCACATCTGCCCTTTGAACACAAGACTCTCCAGATGTAGGGCTGAATGGGAAAGTTATCAATGTGTCTGTCCAGTAAATAATGTTGAACGCGCAGTTTGCAGAGAAGCATTTTAGTTGTTCACGGTGGACTGTCTGACTTAAAGGTACAGTTCACCCAAAAATGAAAATTGTGTCATCGTTTACACACCCACAAGTTGTTCCAAACCTGTAATAATTGCTTTCTTCTGTTGAACTTAAAAGAAGATATTTTGAAGAATGTGGGTAACCAAACAGTTTCTGGTCCCCAATGACTCTGATAGCATTATTTCTCTACC